ATACGTGTCATTGCCAGAAGATTTGCTGTGTCATCTAGCAGTCTCAAGAGCATGGAGGAGATTCCAGGAGACAGTTACTCTCTAGGAGAGCTGGACAGGGCCGTAGAAGGTACTTAACCCATCAGCAGGTCGGTATCTGCTCCTTTGTGCAAGGAGGAACAGGATGAGCACTGCCATAGCCCTACAGAATTACCTCCAGCAGGACACTGGTGTGAATGCCTTGGACCAAACAATCAGAAACAGACTTCATGAGGGTGGCCTGAGGGCCTGATGTCCTCTAGTGCTCACTGCCCGGCACCATAGAGATGGATTGGCAATTGCCATTGAACTCCAGAATTGGCAGGTCTGCCACTGCCGCCCTGTGCTTTTCACAGATGGGAGCAGGTTCACCCTGAGCACATGTTACAGACTTGAAAGCATCTGGAGAAGGCGTGAAGAACATTGTGCTGCCTGTAACATTGTTCAGCATGACCATTTTTGGTGGTGGGTCAGTGATGGTCTTGGGAGGCATATCGATGGAGGGCACATATACAGGCTAGACAATGGCACCCTGACTGCCATTATGTGTCAGGATGGAATCTTTGGACCCATTGTCAGACCCTACGCTGGTGCAGTGGGCCCTGGGTTCCTCTTGGTGCACGACAATGCCTAGGCTCTTGTGGCGAGAGTATGCAGGCAGTTCCTGGAGGAGGAAGGAATTGATACCATTGAATGGCCCCCCCACTGGCCTGACCTAAATCCAATAGAACACCTCTGGGACATCATGTTTCGGTCCAGCTGACGCCACCAGGTGGCACCTCAGATTGTCCAGGAGCTCAGTGATGCCCTGGTCCAGATCTGGGAGGAAATATCCCAGGACACCATCCATCTCATTAGGAGCATGCCTCAATGTTGTCAGGCATACATACAAGCATGTAGGGGCCATACGAACTACGCTCGGCTTACCATGCGGCGTTGCTCAGGGAGTCCCTGCAGCATTTACCTTGTCCTTCGCTCCCACGATGTGTCCCCTGCAGCGTCCCCGGCCATCCGGCTTCCGTGTTCCGGTCCCTGTGACGTCTGGACGTACGGCGGGAAATTTGCTGTCATTGCTGTTTTTCAATGCATTTCACATATATTTTGTCCCTACTGCTTTGTCCTGTGCCCTGCCTGCATTTTGATGTTCTTTCTGCCTGGAAACTTAGAAAAGTGCATGGCATCCAAAAAGCGCCCCTTACGTCTGGGTTTTAGGCGATAGTAAATCAGAACCACTTGCAGAATTGAGTGATAATGATTTGTGGGGAAATTCGTCATCAGACACTGAAAACGATTTTGCGACTTTGTCAGCGATTGCGAATTTGCCTCTGTTTTCAATTTCAGTGTTTTTGGTTTGATTATATTATTGAATTAAATTTATTATTTTATGTTTTTTTATGATTATTAAATTATAATTTTATGATTTCGTGTTTCAAGTTTTATCATATCTGGAATGTTTACTAGACTCTTGTTCAAACAGATTTCATATTCCTAAATATTTCTACAATAAAAAACGACATATTTCTATGCAAAAATGGTACCGTTTTCAGCACAAAAAATCAGAAAGAATCCCCGAGGAGGTTAAAGTTCATGTGCGTGTAAAAGCGAACATCCCAATACTTTTGACAATATAGTGTATATCAAAAAAGGAAAAAAACACAAAATAAAATAAGTTTTTTTTTTTTTTTGCAGAACTTTTAAAAGTAAATGCCAGCCAGTTAGGATTTGCATCTACTTTGAGGCTAAGTTCACACTCATTGCGGGTGGTTGTGGTAATTGCATCTGTTCCTGTATCCGCAACTTGTATCATGCAATTTCCCTGCATTTGCATTTTCAAAATGGTCAGGAACCTTTTTTTTTGAAACGCAGGCACAGCAGGAGCAGTACACCAATAAAATTTACTTGCCAAAGGATTTGCATCCATTTCTTCCCACTTCTCAGATTTACACAACACAGCCCTATCTGCCAGGCCAGGAGCTCCCCCCCCCCACGCAGTTAGGCACACTGTTGCTTAGCCCATTCAGTATGTTTTTAAAGGTCCCATCCCAGTTATACTCTCATTATCAGTGTTCCAGCTCCGCTACTGCCAGATAGGAAATACAGTGCTTTCAAGTATAGGGGAGTGTGTGACCTACCTCATTGACCGTTCACAGGACTAGCAGCCAATGACTAGGGAGAAGCACCGTCAGGATGGAGTGGGTGACTTCACCACCCTCCCTAGCCACATACACAGCCAGCTCATTGGATTGCAGTGCCAACTGCAGCTGAGACAAGAGATCATTGGTAATGTGAGTATAACTGGTATGGCAGAGGATTGCTCTTTAGAATCTCACTGTCACTTTACCCTGAATAGGCAAAGTGTCAATATCTCTTCAAGCTACATTTCAAGAGATGTATAAAAATGCAGAATAAACACTCTAAATACACTAAACTGAGACACCATTCACCCACTCAGGTGCATCCCTACCTCCTTCTGCAGAGTCCTGCGTTGTCTACAGCCCGGATGTTAAAGGTTTGTGTGGTTGCCTGCACTCTAACCTCAAAAAGATTATCCATTGGGACATACCCATACAGATTTTTAGTGGCTGGGATGTAGGGCTGAGGCTGTTACTGGGAGTGCTTAGTTTAGCATATTTGGGGGCTTAGGATGTTTATATAGATTTCCTGAGCTTTTCATGTAAGTCAAACTTACTAGTGTTTTGTGATTTCTTACTTTTTGACTGGACAGTCAAGGAGAAACGACAAATTGATGGACTTCTCTCTCTCTGTTACTCTGCTCTCTTCTATCCATATGTGCACATGAGCACTGCAGCACAACTGACTGACTTCTTGTGCTGGTTTTTTCTCTCCTAGTCTGGGCTTTGCTATATAGCAGAGGTCTCCAAACTTTCTAAACAAAGGGCCAGTTTACTGTTTTAAAGACATTCCAGGAGCCGGACTATGGCCATTGTGAGTAGAAATGCTTTATCATTCATATGAGCAAGAGGAATAGTGTGAATTATTGGTATCGGTGGAAGAAATAATGCTCCATCTTTGGTGTCAGTGGGAGGAATGGTGCCCCATCGTGGCTGTCAGCATGGGGAATAGTAGCCACATTTTTGGTGTCAGTCGGAGGAATAGTGCCCCATTGTTTGTGTCAGTGGATGGAATGGTGCCCCATCATTGGTGTCTGTGGGAGGAACAGTGCCAATTGTTATCAGGGGAAGAAATTGTGCCCTGTCATTGGTGTCCATGGGAGGAATGGTGCCCCATTATTGGTGTCAGTCTGAGAATAGTGCCTTGTTTTGGGGGAGCAATAGTGCCTCAAGGGCCAGATAAAGGCAGGCAAAGAGCCCCAGTTTGGAGACCACTGCTTTATAGAGTATTGCAGGAGGCTGATACAAGTACAAGTTCAAATTCAGATAGTTAAAATGCTTGCAATAAAAACCAAAATAATTTGATATATTAATGATTAGAGAGTTGCATTTAATTTTATTTCCATATGTTAACTTGCACAAAGTTTTAAAGTAAAACTGTTTAAAAAAAAAAAAAGGAAAATAAATACAATTCTGGATGATGGGCTCGAGAGAGTACTAAATTGTGTTTAAATACCAAATTTGAATAAATATGTAAAAAAAAAAAAATCACAATAATAAGATAAAGAAGGGATATATCTCATACAATTAAACATATGGAAAACCACCGTGCCTGACCAAACCGAAAAACGAATGAATAAATTAAACAGTTCATCATAAAAGGCCGTGAGTGTGAATAAATTTCACAAAAAAAAACACCAAATGAATTTCCAAAAAATGGTGCCCGCATATATCCAGAACCTTCACAAATTGTGGCAATTGGTTTTTATTTGGTATATTAGTACATGTTTTTGTTGAGAGTGCTACACCAACTCAACTGCATTAAAAAATTTACATTCCAGCCGGCAAACAAGCAGATTTCAAGTTGGTTCAGGTGCATGGTGACATCAGCAAATGGCTCCAGCCCTACATGCTTTGTTGTAAAAGAGTCTAGCGCCGAAAAATGTCTTGTATGAAATGTGTAGGGCAGAGCATTTGCTGACATCATGTATCAAAATTGATCTGGAATCTGCTTGTTTGCCGGCTGAAATTTAATTTTTTTTTTTTTTAAATGCCTAATCGCTTTTTATCATATGTGAGTGCAATATTCTAACTGGTACCTGCTAATTTTTACACTATGAAGGGCATTTGTGTTCTATTCCTTCCCTGGGTCAATGCGATTGAGGACTGGAGGTGGCAACCTAAATTAAGTCTGCTGCCTGGTGACTCTGTGGAGAAGTGAGGAAAGACTCCACTGATGGCAAATACCATCAGCCATGTTGTTTATGACTTCTCTTTAATTAGGGGGTCATATCCGTTTCTCAAGCCTGCATCTTGCCACTATTGGTTAAGGTTGTGGATCTATTTGGGCACCATTTTTTAGGAATTCTTTTGATGTCTTAATTCATTCACACTCATTGGACTTTTATGATGAACTTTTTGGGGAATTTTTTTTATTTATTAATTTTTTGGTTTGTTCACTGTGGATTTCTATATGTTTGTAAGAGATATCCATAAATAAACATATTTCCCTATGTTTATTTGCGCTCATTGTTACCATTGGAGATTTCCCTTCGCTTCCTGTAGGTTGTGGCAAAAAATGTTTTTCAGTGAAATAGGAAAGGGTCAGACCAGCTGCTAGATTAATATAACTGTCTTTGCCTTCCTGTCCCAGTGGTGACTGCTCTCCTAAATTTTTTTTTTTTCATCCTGACGTCACAAGTAAGAAAGTGAGGTGGTTTCTGATGGGGTCACAGAGAGTAATAAAAACTTTTCATTAGTCTTTACTCTTCCCAGGTTTATCCAAAACTACAATAAAAAAATGTGCTGAAGTTGGCTTTAACGCTTTAATAAAACACATTTCCCAATTTTATTAGGTATTATGTTGGTTTTGAGGTAATTTTTTTCTTTCTTTTTTTTTTTGTTATGCAGTGTAATACGAGAAGTGTTCTTAAATTCAAATGGACTGAATCAAATTACTGAGCTTAATTATTTGGATTCTCTGAGATATTTCTGCTTGAAAGCATTTGAGTCTCTTATTTGCTTTGGAGAGCAACAGATGGACTGTTTAACACCTAACTTAGAAAATGGCAGTAGTGATTCAAACCCACTTCCTTTGGAATTTCATGTTCAGTTTTCAAAGCCCCAACAATGGCTACATGATGTGCAAACGAAGAACTATACTGATTTGAAAGAGATATGTCCAAAGCGTAAAAAGATGATTTCATCAAAAAACAAACATTATCAACCTTTTTCTTTGTTTGGCTTTTTTAAGTGTGAGCAAAGATGCAGAGTCTGACTTTGAATCGGTAAATGAGTCCGAGGACACTTCTGGCTATGACAGTACTGCGAGTGAACCACGAAGCATATTACCAAAGCTTAATGTTGAAAGCTTGGTCTTGCCATCTACTGAACAAATACACAGAGCAGCAGATATTTGGTCTATGTGTTGTTGGCTTTACCTTTCAAATGCAATGCTGCAAAAACAATTCCACAAAATTGGTGGCTTTGACTTGTGTTACAAATTTACTCTTTTGATAATAAATAAATTTTCTAGCTGCTTTGAAGATCTAAGAAGTAACGTTCTCCCTGTTTCTCATCATGAAACATTAAGTCCACCTACAGAAGAATGTTTTAGCATGGAAGCCCATTGCAAAATGGAATGCACACGTCACAGTGCTTTATCTAAAGAACTCTATTTGAGTTATCCTCAACCTGATGCTCCATGTTCTTCATCTAATGGTTCTTTCTTTGTTAGTTCTCTTTCAACTGAAGTGAAAGAGTGGCCAGTTGAAGCTGTGAGATTATTTGAAGCACTGTTGGCTATTTGTCTACATAGTGCACGAAGCAACCAGCTCAAATCCGAGTTTGAAGCTTCTCAGGTAATGTCTTTATTTTTATATAGTTTTTGTTTGTGAATTTATTGCATCAAATATTAATCAGAATGTCAGAACTCTCATAACTGTTATCTTATTACTGGAGATTTCGGTAATTGGAGTGTATAGTAGCAGAGCAGTGAATGTGCTAAAAATAAAACATTTAGCCAAGGGTACATGACAAGTCCCAAAAGATAGCAAACTGTTAAAAAAAAAAAAAAAAAAAAAAAAAAAGTACTTGACAACAAGCACTGTAAAAGTAAAATCCTTTATATAGCTATAAAAGTCGATGATAAAGAAATCCAGATGACCTTGGAAAATATCACTGCTTCAGTGGATGGCTTTTATTTATTTTTTTTAATTACCCTTCTCGTCCTCTGTGATGACCTTAACCCCTTCACACTGAGATCACACAAATATGCTGCCTCACAGAACTGGGCTTCTTTCCGTGGGGCTGCATATTTGTATACCTGACTTTGTGCAGCGTGCTCCCAGCACAAAGACCGGGGGGTCCTGTTCTAACAATCTGGACCTGGGACTCCTGATTCCTGGTAACCTGATCACTGTGATAGCCTCTGATTAGCTATCACACTGATCAGTCACTGTGACGCCCGCCCCCCTTGTTTTTTTTTTTTTTTTTTTTTTTCTCCTCTCTGAATGGAGGAGAGAGATACATTGTATGTATCTCTCTCTTTTTAAATTTTGTTTTTAAATGAAAAAAAAAACAAAAAAAAACAATATGTGCACTATTGTTTCAGGGCTGTAGTACAGGTAAAAACAACAAGTAACATATATATAGTATCGCTGCTATCGTCAAGAGCTGGAAAATGTTTTTGGATTGTTCTTGGTGGTAGATTATGGTAATAACAAAAAACACACAGCTAAATTAAAAAAAAAATATTATTTTTTTTTTTTTTACTATTTTGGGGGGCCAGTTTTCCTTTGATAGGAAAAAAAAATCAGGAGAATCCATTACCATTTACCACCAAATGAAAGCCCAAATTGTCCTGAAAAAAAGGTATAATTCACCTGGATGTACAAAGTAGTTGTGATGATATGTACGGTTTTACTAACACATGTCAAAGTTGTAAGATTTTACTTAAGCTTTAGGATTTGTTTTACCCTTAGGCGTGAAGGGGTTAACGTGAATAACTCTACATAGTTTATTTTATGGAACACCTATGAATTTATACATGTTGATCATAACCCCCCTTAATTTCCTCTTCTCAAGAGAGAATAAATTTAGTTCCTCTAATCTATCCTCATAGCTGAGTTCCTCCAGGCCTCTTATCAGCTTGGTTGCCCTTCCTCCAGTTTCCCAATATCCTTTTTGTGAACTAGCGCCCAAAACTGAACTGCATATTCCAGATGAGGTCTTACTAATGATTTGTACAGGGGTAATATGATATCTCTCTCTCTGGAGTCTATACCTCTTTTAATACAAGAGAGCATTTTGCTCGTTTTGGAAACCGCAGCTTGGCATTGCATACCATTATTAAGCTTATAATCTACCAGAACTCCCAGATCCTTCTCCACCATTGATTTCCCCCAGTTGTATTCCCTCTAGTATGTAAGATGCATGAATATTCTTAGCCCCCAAATGCATAACTTTACACTACACTTGTGATGCCCACAAAGCTTGAAACAACTGTATGCAGCAAGGAATCAATAGCTCAGTAGTATTAGGTTATGTGTTATACTGCCATTCTGAATGTCCAGTTGGTGGTAAAGATGAATGGTTTGCATGACATCACCCACTATCATGAAATGAGGAAGAATCCTTTTTTCTTCCTTGTTTGCTAAGGGACACAGTATTCAGTTTTTGAGAGGCCATTGGGTTATACTACTGCCTTCAGGTGAAATTGGACACTAGCAAACAAGCTGTTGGCCAGTCAGGTATAATCCTCCCTCTGTCATCATGCTTAATTTTTTTTTTTACTAGTGTCCAAGGGGGATGAATGTCTTGGGCTGGGGCTGCAGATGGTGACACCGCTGCAGGAGTGAGAGTGTTTAGTCCTCTTCTTCCCAACCTGTGCACTTGATCCCCTTGAATGCATGCATCACACGGTCGGGCTGCCGGAAAATTTAGGTTGGGGCTTTGCGGCCTATTTCAGTGGGAGGTGTCCCTGTCCTCCTGTTGCATCACTTCCTTCAGTGTATCTTCCTGAGCCCAAGGCGGAGGTTTAGGGCTGGCGCCTTCACACTGATGGGTGGCCTTGAGGGTGCGGGGCTCAACGGGTGGCAGCTCTGATGGCCCTGCACACCGCCATGTTTGGGCCGGGCATCTGCTTTTTGCTTTGTTTCCCTCTTGTGTTGCAGAACTTATAAGTAGCATTGGAAGTAACGCTGTTAGGGGTGTTTCCCTGACACCCTTTTGTCCTGTGAGTGGCATTGCAGGGTGGTGGCTGTTCCTGATTGGCTCACTCAGTGTCATTTGTGGCCACAGTATGCAGGGACGTGGTTCTGTTCACTCACGGTTGTGAGGTCGACTTCTGCTTTTTCTCTGTGTTCTACAATGACCCCCCAGAGTCTAAATGGTGTGTTTAGTGGTGGCAGAAGGGTCATCGACACCCGATACGCATGGCTGGTTGGGTGTTTCTAGGACATATATGTCTTTTTGGATATATAGTGGCATCTATATTCTGTCCGGGCGCTGTTTTGTTTCTACTGGGCTCCTGCTAGTTGGTTGCAGCTGCACAAAGTTCCATGCGGATTCATGGCTGTATGCCTGCGCGTCTCCTGGTCTGTTGTACAGGGGGTGCGGTGGCCCCTTTTGAAGGGACATGCCTGAAGAAGTGGTCCTATCCACCTACTGTAGAAGAGGATGAAAGAGCGCACAAACCTTGCGCATTACCTAAATAAATAGTGACTAATTTTATTTTATCTAGGAAATTGCTAAAAATAAAAGTGATGGTAAAACAGGCATAAGTTAACCATAATCCACACAGGGTTACAGGTAAATCCAAAGGGGTGGGGGGGGGATAAAATATAACGCGTTTTGAAGGTGCTCCATTCTTCATCAGAGCTGGGTTTGGCAGATAGAAACTTCAGTATAGCAGAGTTCCCATGGCAAGGAGACATTCAGCCACTGAGTGTCAGTATTACAGCAGTTCAGCCTGTTTAGTCTATCCACCTACTATGGGGGACCCTCATACAGTATATACAGTTGTGCTCAAAAGTTTACATACCCTGGCAGAAATTGTGAAATTTTGGAATTGATATTGAAAATATGACTGATCATGCCAAAAAATGCTCTTTTATTGAAGGATAATGATCATATGAAGCCATGCCAGGGTAAGTAAACTTTTGAGAACTGTACCTAGCTGAACAAGAGGTGAGGAATTTCCCTCTTCTAAGGACCCTGTGGATGCAGGGTGCAGGCAGTAGCTCATTCCATCCTCACCGGTTCTGTGTTCCGGTCTGTGCTGACCTCGGCTCTGCTATCTCAGACACTGTCTGAATGGGGCAGGGGTTTTGCAACGAGCCTTGGCTTTTAGCCAGATGCCTCAAGAGTTTGTAGAGCTTGCAGACCAGTTGGTCCAGGGACTACAGTACGTTTTGGGGCATGTCCCTTGTTGTTGCTTCTCTCCTCTCCCAACTCTCCATTTTCAGCTGTAGTACTGCGGCGGGTCCTGTGGCCCCGCTGCTGGTTGGCTGACCAGACCTGTAAAGAGGCCATGGTGAACTTGTCTCTCCAGGGAGACCAGCTGTTTGGGGCGATGTAGGTCGATCTTCTCTAAAACCTGAAGGTGGCAAGAGTACCTTTCTTCTTCGGTCAAAGCTGGGAAAGGATTATCATAGGAGGGCAGGACCAACCCTTTTTTGGGACATCAGTGGATTTTGTGTTCCCCTGGGTCCTTGACAAAGGACCTCAATCCCTTCAGGTTCCCTCAGGTGTCACCAAGTGCCCCTGGCCCCAGAAACCCTCCAAGCTTATGAAATAAATCCTCCTCAGCATGGTGGTTGCCCCCACCCATTTCCAAGGTTGGGGGTTCATCTTCTCTGCCTTCCAGACCCATGTACTTCTTCCATTCCCGAGAAGTGGGTCTGCAAACTCATTCACTCAGGCTACAAATTGGAATTTCATTCACTTCTGTCAGCCGGGTTCTTCCCTCCCTTTGTGACTAGCTGACACGTGTGTGGGTCCTGTATTGGGCTAGGCAGAATCTGCTCCTTTGAAGATTGATTGTTTCGGTGCCCAAAACCCGAGAGGTTCAGAAGGTTTTACTCCAATCTGTTCACAGTTCCCAGGTCAGACGAAGTTCATCCAGTCCTGGACCTACAGCACTTCAGGTGGATCTTGAACCTCAGGAAGTCTGTGTTGACCCCCTCTAAGTGCTTGGAGTATCTGGGGCTGATCTTCCATTCAGAGCATCAAATCCGACCCTTCTTCTTCCTTGGACATTTCTAATTCACGTGAAGTGGTCGACAGGGGCTTCTCTTCTCTGGGGGCTGTGGTCTCCTGCTGTATGCAATGGGAAGACTTTACTTCCCTTTTGAGAGACTGCAATCACAGCAGATGCCAGCCTGTCAAGTTTGGGATAAGTCTTTGGGTCGGACTCAGCTCAGGGTCACTGGGCTATGGAGGTGGCTTGACTGCCCATTAATGTCCTGGAGCTTCGGGTAATCAGGTTGTCCCTGTCACATTAGATGAATTGCTTACTGGATCTGCCGAACTAGATCTGGCCAGACAACACAACTGCGGC